CGAAAATCTAACTCTCTGAAATCGGCCATTAATGTTTGCTTCTTTTCTGCAACTCTCCTGTACCATCACTTCGTATGGTCACCAGCTCTGACCTCTTTTGCTCTAGAATGCATCATTAATGTCTGTTTCTTCTCTGTATCTCGTCTGATCTCATCATTATGCTTCCCCCCAGTTAGCAAAAATAGGAGAAACATTCATCGAGGCTGCAAAAAATGGAGATGCCACCCTCGATTCAGCCATTGATTTCTGCATCTTGCAATTTCATATCTTTGCTCCTCTGATGCAACCTCACAATAGATTGAGAAGGAGAAACTCTCTGCAAGATCAGAAAGCCGGGCAAACTGAACCGCATTTACAGAGCTCTTAATCCCTAATTTGTCAGTGAATGACACCGAGGCTCTCCATTGATCGCACCCTTCTGCTCCTCTAGATCCAGCCTGGAACCGTAGAAAACAGAGAGGAACAACTACCAAAAGATCCAGAGGCTCTAAAGAAGAAACTATAAGACGATCAAGCCCGAAACCTTAGAAAACAAAAAGGAAACGACTTTCTGGAGATCTAGAAGCTTCGAGGAAGAAACTCTCAGGAGATCCAGAACTGATCAGATCCTGAAGCCCTGAAAACATATAGGGGGAAAATACTTTCAGCAATATATCAAAGCTCTGAATAACTGAACAAAAATGGAGTGTCCAATACCTAGAAAGAGCACAAGTATTGACATAAAAGCTCTTGACGCCATCATAAACGTCAACTCCCTCTTCACCTTAGCAGTCTTCATTGGCCTGGCATGGAATCCATATGATCCATCAAACTCTTTGGTTGAGGACACTAATTGCTATGCCAGCCCTAAAGTAATTCAAAATCTGATCAGTTTCCATGTCCTCTCTTTCAGCTCCTTCCTCTTCTCAAGCCTCATAGCACAGGCCCTTAAGCAAGCCATTAGATTGAGCAGTGCCCCTAATATGGAGTTTGGAAAAATCTTTGTGAGGGCTCATGTGCACAGAACGATGCTCAGGGTTGGGATCATGGTTTCGGCCGCTGGTTCACTGTTTGGGTGTGGGTTCTTGATGCTAGCTCTTGTCAATGTGGTTCAGGTGAAGCTTGGCTCCATTAGTTGCAGAGGAATGTGGACTATGGGAGCCATTGTTCCTCTCGTGATTTTGGTCCCAATCGCCATGGTCATCTACACCTGTATCGTGCTCTATGCTGTGATGATGAAGAAAAATCCCTAATTTGCTTCATGCTCAGGTTTTGTGCTCTGATCTCCTTTTTCTTTGCAGAAAAACCCTTAGTTTTATATTCCCGTACTATTAAAAAGGTACCATAGTTTTGTCCTCTGGAAACCCTAATTTCTTCTGGTTCATGGCCTAGTTGCAGATATTTCCAGGAGATGACTATAATACCCTCTATATGCTCCCTGAATGATTGGAGAGTCCCTCTGTCCTTATGAGGATGATACCCATTTCAAATTTTCAATCCGGACTTGCTTTTGTATAAATTTGTACATGTAATATTTCATTTTGTATCAATGGGTGATCTTTAAAAACCATGATGATGTTTTGCTTGAATATCGGACTGCAATTTTCTGTTCTTGAATAATTCTGTTTTAAGTAGCCTACCAAAACCATAATCAAGTTTGACCAAATTAGGTGTGGCAATCAGGTTGACACGTGGACTCGATAGGTCGACCCGAATTGGGTCTGGGTCCATGTTTCGGACCCTGCAGGTTGGATGGAGGCGCCAATGATTTGGACCGATCCAGCTTGGGCCTGGGTCTGTTTTAGACTTTTTCGGGTGTAAAATATATTATATAATATATATAATTTTTAATTTCTAGACCCGAATCGGGTCCATGTGAAACCTAGTCAAGTCAGGTTGGTCAGACCCGAATTGCCATCCCCGAACAAAATCAGAACGAGTCCCATATAAGGTAGAATTAGAGTCTTCTCGCTTACCCTAACAGAGCTCAAGGTTTAATTTTCCTTGGGTTATACTCATAAGATAGAGATGAGATCGTGTTTAGCCTTGAAAGCTAGAAATTTGGAAAATGAACTGAGTTTCTCATCGAAGAAATGAAAGAAATGAGGTTTCATGTAGTCTGTCTCAGCAAAATTGTTGTTTTTCATGTTTTTTATTGGATTTGTTAAGTAATGGAGATTATGCATTGGAGCTCGACCAAATGCATGGAGGATACCAAGGGGTAGGCCTATAGCCCTCACCCCAACACTTTGTTGGGAAATGCCGCTTCGGAATCGATAATTAGTTGGTAAGTACAGTTTCAGCATTGAGAATTTTGCAATGGCCTAAAAATATAATTTGGGTATGGTTTATATAGGGTTGCAATCTTGTGCACGTTCAAACTTTGTCTTAAGATGTAATTCTGACGTCGCAAATTTGGCTCAGAATCTATTTTTATCTGTAACTATAAAATTTCGAACTCTTAAAGTGGTTCAAATCAAGTAGATCTACATGAAAGAAAATCGTGAAAATGGTTTAGACAATCTTTTGTAAGATGTACAATTCTTAAGACTTCAAATCTTTTTTGTCTCGAAATCCATACATCTTGACTTTGAAATAATCAATTAGATAATTCTCTAACATCAAAACAGCCTTTTCCGGATGTGCACCTTAATTCTACAATACAATGTGTCAACCTTAAATCGTTCTCAAAAAAAAAAGTGTCAACCTTATATAAACCTTCTCCATATACTTTATCCCTAGTTATAAAGAGCGCATAGACTACTTCATATAAACCTGCTCCATACTCTTGTAGGAGCAATAATGTGCATCTACTCCTTCACTCATAAGACCTACTTGGGAGGATTTTTCCAATTTTGGGAACCATCAAAAAATCACCAGAATATTATTTTGAATTTTTCAATTTTGGGAACCACCTAAAAATCACTAGATGGTTATTTTGAAAAAAAAAAAAGGTTTTAATTTTGAGTTTTTTTGACAATTAAATCTCGTCCTTCAAAAATTGGACAGTAGTTTATGTTCAATCTTGAGATATTATTATTTTTTAACATAGAGAGTTTAATTCCAAAATTTCTTTTTGAAGAGGTTACATCCCCCAAATTTGGGGCCTAAAGTAATACCTAAATTGGCCTTTGCCCAAGGAAGTGAAAATGCATGCATAATATACTCCCATAGGAGTATAAAACCTCTTGGCAATTTTCAAATTTAGTGCTCAGAAAACAGTAAAATTTTAACAGCAAACACTAGAAAAACGATACATTACTTTAAAAGATGGACACGGTTTCTATGTGGCCAACCCGCATATTGTAGAAATGCAGGCTTGGCGATAAATATAATTTGATCCTGATTTTTTTTTAAAATATAATCTTTAGCATGGAGATTGTTAGATTATGAATACAAAAAAAAAAAATTAAAATTAAAAATAATAATTATATTAAAAAAACATTTGGACCATTAATTACACTTGTTTTTAGATGGACCACCTATGTGAATCCATCTTTAAGATGGATGCTTTATACCTCTGGACCGCATCTTGTAAAAATGTGGTCCAAGCCACAGGAAACAATTTTCCTTAAAAGATTGATATTTTTTTTCCAGATCCATGTTTTTATTTTGCTAAGGTTAAAATGATCAATTTAAGGGTTTTCCAACGATGGAACTGGAATTTTTGTGAGATTTGCAAGGTGGCCTTACAAAAATTGTGAGGCCTGGGCTTACGCTAACATTTACCTGAAATAATATTCCCATTAAAGAACAGAATCAAGCATTATGTCTATCTAGTTTGAATCGTGATTCATGTTCGACATTGGGTACATCAGATAGCTAGCAAGCCAAATGAGTGGTGATACATTCATGATTAGCGAGCCATTGAATAAACCATTCTTCTAATCACTGGGCACCTCAACCCAAATCATTCCATTCCATTGTTGTAAATTCAGTTATTATTCAAATTGCAGATAATAAATCAAATGTTTTTATTATAAGACCATTGCTTTTAGAATGATTTAGGCTCCTAATTAGTATTTACACGTATTAAACTTAATATATATTTTTTACATTTTTTTGGCTTTTTTCCTTTTAAGTTGGCGGTGTTGGCTGAGCTGAGTCACTGATTTTTTTCTTGGAACAAGTGGGTGAATGTTTCAACCCACAGGTCCAGGCCCAGCAATCCATTTACATTGCAAAAAGATATAAGTTTAGCAAAGAAAAAAATGGAAAAAAAGAGCTTTGGAATATGCAGATGATTGATATTAACCTCTCACCCACTCTGACCCCCAGGTTAGTCATAAACTACTGCTTGTAAGTTTTTTTTTAAAAGCCATTAATAAGCTGCACAATACTAGCTTTCTTGCTGTTATAATATAGAAGTCAAAAGCGATTGCAACAAAGCTTTTAGGCTCTGAACTTGTTCTAATTTTACCACTTTAAGCTAAAATTCTTAAAGGGCAAACAAAAAATGGAATAACAAAATGAAATGACTGGATCACCTTAGCATTTTCCCAGTGCAAGTAATAAGAGAACCCCGCACAAATCTGGTTTTTATATATTCAATAGTGAACACCTGATACTTCATAGGATCAGAAGAAAGTTTAGGACTCCTGAGATTCTGCAATGCAACCAAAGAATAAAGATATAATGTTGTATCAAGAGAGATTATGCGTCGCTATAAGCTGAGGGAACAATGAGATTATGCATCGCTATAAGCTGAGGGAACAATAATGAGAGAGAGAGAGAGAGAGAGAGAGAGAGAAAGAGAGAGAGGTTTACCATCAATGGCTTCCATATTTTCATTTGGAAATACTCCAAGAGGTGAGCCATGAATGGACAGCAGCATTTCGCCAGGCTTTGGCAGTCTCAAGGTTTTGGGGGTCATACCAATAGATAGCCTCTGAGCAGAGACCTGCAAATTTATAGTTCACAAATACTTAGGCAAAGGTAAATAATGATCAACATTACATTTATGGAAAATTCAACAAAGCCCTCTCCAAAGAAAATAAAAAAATAAAAAAAAACATTCATATTGGACTCCAAATCAAAGTCATGAAGCATAAGAACATGATAACGGTATTATACTGTCAGCAAAATCAAATAAACCACCATTTGGTGCTAAATACTTGAGCATTCACATAATAAAAGATTACGAGTAAATTGGCAAGGGAAAGTACATGATAGGTCAATCAAGGATGGTAATCCAAGCTACATCCACCATCCATTCCTACACTCAGAGGTTAAAGAGCCAGGGTGAATGACCATGTGAGCTCCAGCCCTGTCAATCATCAACCATCATCGAATGGAATGGAATGGATGGAGTAGCCTTTTAGTAGAATATATCAAGGCCATTGGACTTTGTTTAATATACATGAAATAGGTAAAGTTGTACACAAACCCCAGGAGTTTCAAAAGAATCTTGGATTCCTCGAATTTGCCTCTCATGATTCTGAAAACCCTGGAAAATAGAAAAACCCATCATAAAAATTTTGAGGTAAAGCCAGCACTAAAAGTGTTTGGGTATAAATAGAAGTGCTAGCTTGCCATATGGCCATGACTTACAAAATCCGGGATCTGCGCACTAGCAGTCTTCATCATGTTCTCTGCCACTGCAAAGGATTAGAATAAGCTCTAGTGGTCCAGTAGATCATGATTCGAGAAAGTACATACTGTCATCGATTATATAAATCATACTTTAGGCAGATTATCAGAAGCTATGGAAAACCAGAGTCCATTAAGGTCATGATTATCTGATGATGTGATGAATGGCATGGAAGGAGTGGGATCTGCCAGAACGGACACTCTCTCTCTCTCCATTTCATTGGACATTCGTGGCCTTTGACCGCATTATAGCTTCTCTTTGAAAAAACCATATGCAACTTTAAATAACATTGCCACAAATGCATTACCTGAAAATGGGAAGCCACAAAAAGGAGGCAAAGGACCACAATTATTATTATATGCCAAGAAGCCTTGTTGCCCTACAGAACCACAGGGTCCCAATAGAGGAAGCATTGCTCTTTCCTCGGTGACACTAAGTGATGGGTTGCAGTCCAAAGCTTTCCAGTGTAGTAGGCATTCTCCACACTCATCGTGCTTGACAACCACAATATTAGGGCACTTTTCCTCTATAAATTGTACAAATGGGGTCTCAAGCTGCTCCTTTGCAAAGAATGAGCGCAAATTATGCAAATGGCTCAGCGTGTATTCAATCTCTCCATTGCCAATGGCACGGATTGCAGCAGCTCGGCGTTCAACTGTAGAAAATCAGCCCAACATAAGGATTAAACAAACATTGATAATGAAACGGTAATGAAAACTGTAAATGAAACCCATATAATAGGGATCAACTCCTCTTGGAAACAATGATGCAACAATGAAAATATTTACTCCACAAAATTAATATAAATGGACAAATCTAAAGGGGGCATCTGATAACATATAGTGGGCATCTACAGGTTCAGAATTTCAGCTGATAATAGACATACACTTCTAGACATACACTTCTAGACAAAGATGGGTCATAAAAAAGAACTTTTTATGAATGTGACATCACAAATTCACAATTAAAGACACTTTCTGCAAGACTTTTATCTTTTGGGGAGGTATCCTCTATCTTTTTGTGCTTTTCTTTTATCACTAAATGGAACTGTTACAAAATGTGTATTTGTTTGTGATTGCAACAAAGGACGTGAATAACACACTACCCAAGGTCCACATTAGAACCAAACAGTATCCTGAAAAGGCCAAAAAAAGAAAGTGCATATCCCTTGAGCAAACTGACAGCGAGTGAGATATGGCAGAGTGCTCCCACTTCATGTCAGCAACTAGAATATACAAGAATGACAAGTGCTGTTTTTTCCTAAACTCATTTTTTTTCCCTCCAATACATTATCAATTTTCCATCCCTCTTTCTCTAGCTCATTTTCTCTCTCTTGCATGAGGATCCACAACAAGAGAAACATTTACTCTCACTGAATTGGGTAGGAGTTTTTTTTGGGAGTTTTGTAGGGTGGCTTGTTGTGGCTTCCTTGAGAGAAAAGTTATATGGAGGTAAGAGAGTTGTTTGATGGAGATGAAAATGTACAGAAAAACTTTCAAGAAACACCCAAACAACTTCTGTAGAGTAGAAAAATAATTTCAAAATTGATTAATATATATCTGAAAAACTTGTAAATTTTTTTTCTTTTGACATCCAAACTAGCCTTAGTATTATTATTATTTCCAATGTATTTTAAGCATCATTACACATGATAAATAAAAAATAACAAGCAATACAGTTCAGATGCAAATCCATAATAAACAAGAATTCATCCAACATGCCAAGAGGGCTTTACCCCTTCAAAGTTGGAAACATGTCCAGAGAGCAATACCTATTTATATTGGCACAAGGATTTATATTGGAAACTCTTTTCAATCTTCAGACTTGAAACATGCTAAGAGAGCATTTATCACTTTATATTGTTACAAGGATTTGTAATAAAATGTTCTACATACAAAATTATCTCGGTCAACAAATAACGATGCAAAATAAAGAAGCAAAACCAGCTTTAGGTAGCTTTGCGGATTTACCTTCTTGTTCACTAAATGTAGAACACAGCTGATTTTCAGCTAGGGTTTCATGTTTGCTCTCAAGAGAGGCAGGAGGTTCTTTTGTGGTCCTTTTGGCTCTTCGTTTTGGCATGACAGTCTTTGTATGTTTATCAGATTGTAAAAGAATTGCTGCCATGTCAATAAAATGTCTATTAACTTCTATGCATGGATCTCAACTTTTAAATGAAGAAAAAAAGCATCATCATCGAATATTTTAATAACGATAAATTATTATAGTGTAAAGCTTATAACATAAATAAATAGAAAAGATGAAAGAAACTATAAGCATTTCATTAAGAAAATCATGAGAGACCTTGTAGATTGACATAATAGATCTCTCCCTAAGCACTCATTATTAAAGAAAAACTTATTTTTAAGAAAAGCATTTAGCCTTCACTAATCATTGAATGCCTTAACACCCATTAAAATGCCTCACCAGATCAGTAAAAACTTTACTCTTATCCTGAAATTTTAAGCAAGCAAATTACAAAAGAAAATAAGAAATCATATTTTGCATTTGGCACATCGAATAAACAAGAGATTAGTTCGTACAAAATCAATCATGCAATACAAGAGGATACAGATGAGAAAACAATAGTACTACAATGAATCTGCAAATAAAAGGGGCAATTTCTTCAACAAAATCATCAGTCTTTGAAAACCAAGTATTAGGACCTGGTTGTTCAATGCATGTGATAGAAGTACAAAATAATATTTCACATATATTAAGAGATCTTTTAATAAAATTTTCAAAAAAGGAGATCTTTCAATTAATATAATTCTGGGGGGAGAGAGAGAGAAAGAAAGAGAGAGACTTCTGTCAAAAAGACTCACTTTGGGGCTGATGTGCATCACATGAAAATATCTTTCAATGCTCATAAGCATCTCCACCTCCACAAAACCAGACTTTGACACCTGAAATGGTAACCAGCATGCATGCAAACATAAAGCAAAGCAGGCTCATCTGTAGGAAAAACAGACAAAAGACGATGAAGATTTTAGCTGGTAAGAGACACAATGACAAATAATATTTTCTTTATTTTACTATATAAATATTTTTCTTCCTTGTCGATAGCTGTTCATGGTCTTCTGAAAAATAAAATTATAAAATTTGAATTTGCAACAGCTAAGAAAATTTATTGTTTATTTTATTCAGTTATTCCATCAAACAATTGCAGCGAGAAGTACTACCAAAGAGATCTTTGAAGGACCTGATGTAACAAGTCAAAAAAATACTAACGCCAACCTTTGAATTGAGATTGGAACAACAATTTAGTCTTACAAAGAAGATCGTCAATGCCGACAAGGCATGTATTACCCTCTACAAATAAAAATTCTGGTGAAGCCCAAATAACACTACTAACAGCAATTTATTCTTTCTATTTTGATTTTACAAGAAAATGATAAAAATTTGGTTGCTAATAATTGAGGACATATAGTATAGAGGTTCTTGTCCACCTTCTTGGACGCACTATCCAGTGAGTACTCGACGACAAGTCATATTGAAAACTGCACCATAAACAATGTAGTATGGTATAAGGTACTCCAGAAGGGCAGCCACCACCTGCTTCCAGACCCTGATGATGGAAGGAGGGGATCAACTCTAGCTGGATGAGTGTCTCTACGGGCCTCGCTACAATTGATCTCCATTGTCCAAATCATGAACAGACAATGGACACCCCTTTGAGTTGCCAAATATCATCGGCTATCAGATTATGCTGGTACTTTCCCAGATCAAAGCTCAATGCGATAGCCATAATAGTTGGGCCCGTCATCCCCAGCTATAGAAAGAGGCGATGTAACTGATCCTTTGTATGGGCAACTCTAGTTGAAGGTTGTGTAGTAATTTCACAGCTAATCATGTTACAAAGACATTATACCTGCTATAAAATGTCAGAGTTAAACAGATGGGCCCCCATTATAAGTTCCTTCAATGGTCACTCAATATACAAAACTTCTTCATTAGTATCGATTCACTACAGCAACAGTTCACAAGCAACTCTTCTTATCAAGGATTTCTTGGTTTTAGGATTCCAATCAATTGAAACATTCCAAATCATCTGGCATTGCTCCAACCAATTCACCAATCAAGCAACATAAATATCAAACAAATATACCCACCCCTCATAATGCAATCTGAAAGCTATGGTGTTTCTCAAGTTAATAATTGGAAAATTCTAGACTACACCTTTATTATGTGATTATGTCACCTTTTAAGAAAATACAACATCACTGGAAATTCTAGGCAACTCAACAATTCTGTTTTACCCAATGTTCCACAATTCAGTTACTTTTGACAAAATTAGTATATATCATGAAGATAAAGGAAACTGAGCAAGGAATCTATCTAGCCTGGACGAGTAGTTACAAGGAATCTATCTAGCCTGGACAAATAGTTACAACATTTGAGGTTACAATTTTATGGATCTCCATCCCCAAATAAGTCTGGTGATGCGAATTGCTCCAATAAATGATTAACATGATAATGGACCGATTGTGGAAAATAGAAACCAACAAAGAACAAATGGGTTATCGTTAAAATGGGTGTTTCTTTACTTCCCAATTGTTTCTTTGACCATTTTTTGACTGTTAACATCCCAATACAAACACGATGCACACAAAGGATAAACAGGATATATCAAACAAAAGAACTTGAACAGGATATATCAAACAAAAGAACTTGAATAAAGGATAAATATCCAAAGGTAGCAGGTAACAATAAACCAGAAAATATAGCAGGTTTAAGTATAAGAAACACAACAATAAAATTTTAAAATAAAAAATAATGAACAATGCTACCTTACAATAAATCAATAACATGATGATTTGGACATAGCAGGTACAATAGAAAGAAATTTTCATTTCCAAATGGATGGAGATTTTAGGTTCCTACATTGACATGCCTTTGCAGAATTCAGATTTCAAGCCCTCCATTTAAATAAAAATTGTAGATATATCAATCTGCAACCATAAAATAGCCCAGAAAATGTAGGTAATTTGACCTAAATCATTTTGATGAAATATGAAATGCTAGAACATATAATAACAGAAACACCAAACCCATTAAAAAATGCATAGATTGGTGAACATGAAGAAAAGGAGATCAATCAAAATAATACATCAACAAACGAGAGAAATAGAATGCAGTAAAGCATTGAGATAATACCTAATATCAGCTCGACAAATCCCAAAAAAAAAGGAGAAATTTAACAAAATCATGAAAATATCCACACAGAGAGGTAAATGTTTAGATAGGAAGGCCGAACTAAGCTGCATTCATCATACAAAATGACAGATATAGATATTTATATACGACTGAAGTGTAACAGAAGAGGGAGAAAGAAATTTATTATAAAAATCTAAACCTAAGCATTACTCACAAGGAATCAAGAAATCTTTCTGATTTTTTTTCCTTTTTTGAAGATGTTGAGGGGATACTGATATCGGGATGCACAAAATAATAAGAATCAAAATGCATCCAAAAAAAAGGATCAAGAGAGAGAAAGAGGAACAAACATGTACCTGAAAGAGGCAAAACCCCACAGATTGGTATACCACTGTCCAGAGAGAGAAGAGGCAGGGCAAGGGCAAAGAGAGAGAATAACAGAGGAGGCAGGGGCGAGAGCAGAGAGAGAGAGAGGGGAAGGCGTTGATTTGGTTGAAGAGAGAGAAAGAGAGAGGCACTAACACAAAAAAGAGGGGGGGAGAGAGAGAGGCGTTACCTGTTCTATGCGTTTAGTAGAGAGAGAGAGAGAGAGCTTAAGAAGGGAAGAGCCCTAGAGAGAGAGAGAGGCTACAGTAGTTTGCAAAGTAGCTGAGAGAGGCGAGGTTTAACTTGACCTTTCAATTGCAAGCGCGGGAGACCACTTGCGGACCACTTGCACGTGTATTTAACCCCCGAAAAATTGAACTTTCAATCCGTATACCAATTTTACTCGCTTTCAAGTCAAATCAACCTCAATAATCACATAATTAACAGGTTATTTACTTATGGGTGCAGTTGGCATACGGATGCATCGGTAGCTGTATAGATGAGGTGCACTTTAAATTTGATGATAGTATATAATTTTGATGTAAAATATTTTTAGGATCATATCAAAACCTATTTTTATATTTAATTATAAAATTTTAAATTTAAAAAATGATTAAAATCAAGTAGTTTTGTAAACATTTGAAAATCTATAAAATAGACGGTGTAAATAATATGCTGTAAAATGTAGTACTTTTTAGATTTAAAATCTTTTTATTTTTTAACATTAAAACTATTTTTTTCGATAGATTTTTTAGAAGCATCAATAATTCTACACTATATAGTAGCATCTTTATATAAACTTTTTCCTTTACTTATTGGTGTGGTATGTACAAGGCAGAGGTCCTAATAATCAAAGTAGGATACACCTTCAAATAGTGTTGAAATATGTCGTTTCAGTATTAAAATAAATAGTCTTGAAAGATGTCATTTCAGTATTGAAAATATTTGTAATAGCTTGAAAATTTATTTTAATATCTAATTGTAAAATTTAAAGTTTAAAAAATAGTATCGATCAAGTAGATCAATGAATACTAAAATCTTGAAATTTGACTGTAAAAAAAATGCATTACAAGATGCACTATTTTCAAAACTTGAAATCCATTTTTTTCATGTTCATGCAGTTTGAGGTCAAGAGGATTAGAGGATTTTTGTGCATTGAAACAATCTCTTCTAATGAAATTTTTGATGTGCACCTTAATTTAAGGCCTCACCTTTATATAAACATTTTTCCTTACGTAAAAGCTTTGATTCTCTTTCAAATGCACCAAATTACAGTAAATATGCTTTCATATCGAAAATTAAATCGATAAAATGACATATTTTACAATAGCTTAAACTTTTTATTACATGTTGGCAAGAAAATATTTATAGGAAAAATTACTAAATAATAAATGCAAGGAAAAGTTTATATAGAGGCTAGGCTTTAAACAATCAAATTAGAGCCTACCTCAAAATTTTCATGAGGTTGTTTTGATGCCCATATATTTTCAAATTGATCATCTCGACATCAAGGTGTATGGACTTGATAAAAAAATGGATTTCAAGTTTTGGAAATAGTGTATCTTATAATGTATTTTTGGACCGTCAACTTTTAAGTTATTTAAGTTTTCATAGATACGCTCGATCTATACTATTCTCGAAGCTTTAAATTTTATAATTAGAAATGAAAATATATTTCAAAGATTTTCAATATCGAAACTACATTTCTTGATACTATTTGAAGGTCGGCTCTAATTTGATTGTTTAGAGCCTCGGCTCTATAAATACATTTACCTAATTTATTTGAGAGATGAATATGTGGTGATAAAAAATCGCAATTCAATTTGATCCAAAATGAGTTATAAAGCGACCAGGATATTCGATTTTAGATCAGGGTCATGTTTTTCAAAAGCAACATTTCAAGCAAAAATCAAACTGCAAAAAAAATGTTTTGAGAAAAAAATCAATTCACAATCGAACAAATCAGCATTCATATTATATAAAAGTTTCGATTATCTTTCAAACACACTAAATTTCGATATAAAAAATTTGAAAAAGTTTGAAGCTTCTCCACAATCGACCCGAATTGCTTCACTTTTCGCACAAAACTAAAGAAGACTCCATAGCAAATCGGACAACAATGGAAATAATTTGATCTTGAAGATTAGATCGATAAAATGGCAGAATTTTCAAAAACCGTAAAAAAAACGATACACAAAATAGATTGAAATTTTTTAATATGAATATTTGATTCCCAAAGCCTGATTTTAGAGTCATATTAACATTATTTCGATATGGAAAAATTTCGCTTTTTAAAAAGGGAGCCAGAAACTGTTTCTCTCTCTAGAAAAGACTGGTTTTTTCCTGAACCTTCGACCCTTCTGTTTTCTCAGTCAACACCTCAGATAAATACATTTCACCTCCCTTTCTCGCTCATCAAATCCACCGAACAGAGAGCACTGTTCATTCGAGAATCAACACTATCATCTTCAAAATTCTTCGCTCTCATATTTGGTTGCCATCTCTTGATCACAAACCAGTAAAAAAATGTCTCTGATTCCAATCATTTTCGGCCAAAGAAGCAATGTGTTCGATCCCTTATCTCTTGACCTTTGGGACCCGTTCCATGGTTCTTCCCTTCTTCTGTCAACAGAACACTTCCTCTCCCCTTTTCAATACCAGTGATTCTACAACCTCTGCTTTCTTGACTGGGATGTTGGACAGGAAAGGGACAGATAACACCCATGTGTTCAAGGCTGATCTCCCCGGTCTCAAGAAGGAGGAGGTGAAGGTCGATTAGAAGATGACAGAGTGTGATAAACAGAGAGGGGAAGAAGGAGGTGGAAGAGAAGGACAATAAGTGGCACAGGGTAGAGAGAAGCCAGGGCAAGTTCATGAGGCAATTCAGACTCCCTGAAAATGGAAATGTCGATGAAGTGAAGGCGGCAATGGAGAATGGGATCCTCACTGTGAATGTTAGCAAGGTTGAAGCCCTAAGGATGGATATCAAATCGATCGAGATTTCAGGCTATTTTGGAGTGTTTCTGGTTTTCTGAGTTTTCCGGCGAATTATCTTAGGTTTTTCTCTCGGTTTCTGGGATTCTTGTGTAGGAACTTATGAAGCAGGTAAAGCTCTCGCTCTCTCTCTCTCTCTAACCCAACACTCTCACTCGTGTGGCAAAAGCTCTCTCTCGCTTTTTCTCTCTCTGATGTGGCACCTCCTATTATTTGCTGTGTAATATGTGATTGAGTCCCACATCTAAGCTTTGTAGTACTATTTTACTCTACAAAACATAGGCCGTTGGCCTTGTTGATTGTCTCTTCGGAGACATCCGATAAAATTGGAACGATACAGAGAAGATTAGCATGGCCCCTGCGCAAGGATGACACGCACAAATCGAGAAATGGTCCAAATTTTTTTGTCTTTTTCGGAAACTGGATATGATTTGTTTTAAAATTTTCAATTCTTAAATTTTTATCTTTTTCGACAATTGGATATGATTTGTTTTAAAATTTTCCATTCTTAAATTTAAATGTGAGGATTTTTTCAACAATTTTAGTCCTCAATAAAAAAATATAAAAATATTTTAAATTTTCAATTCTTAAATTTAAATGTGAGGTTTGTTTTCAACAATTTAGTCCTCACTATAAAATATAAAAATACTTTTTTATCTTTTTTGGCAAGTGGATATGATTTCTTCTAAAATTTTCAATTCTTAAAATTAATTGTGAGGTTTGTTTTCAATATAAAAGTTTGAAAAACCACAATATCACTAACAATTAGTTTTGGAAAAAGTTTATTTAAGGGTAAGACCCTAAACAATCAAATTCAAACGTAACTCAAAATTCACTAGAAAAAAGAAAAAAGATGTTGACCTCAAAATTTACTAGACGAGGTTGTTTTCGATGCTTCAAATCTTCAAATCGATCATCCCGACCTCAATATGTATAGACTTGAGAGAAAATGGATTTTAAGTCTTAAAAATAGTACATCTCGTAATGCATTTTTTAGACAGTTAATTTTCAAGATTTTCATACGTTTACGTGAATTTTAAAGCTTTAAATTTTATTATTGGAGATTGAAATAATTTTTTGGACGATTTTGATAGCTTTCAAGGTGATATGAGAACTTTCGCAATTTTTTCCTTTTATTAAAAGAACTAGAAATATTTAAGTTCTAAATCAAAACCATCTTATATCGAGTTTTTTCACCTTTCTAGGACTTTAATAATTTCTACTACCTCTTTTATATTCTTTCTTATTTTCAACTTATTGTTTTTCTTTGTTTTGCTTTTTTTGGGTTTTGCGAGTCCACATGAAACACTTGAATCTCCATTTTGTCTATCCTCACAATTACTTGGAGATCTAGATCCTTTTTAAAATTTTTGGCAAAATTTCCACTCTATACTTTCTCTTACAATCACTTTATATATATATATATCAGTCTTTTCTCAATTAATTGAGGTCGGCTACATGAGTTTTAGTCTGCTATTTTGCACTATTGAAAGTCATACCCTCAGTGAAACTATTGTCCTCATATCTTTTTGGACTACTTCCAATCAAGTATTTTTCAGCCTACCCTTTGTCTTTTTCAATCATTTTTTCTTAAACTAACTTGCACCTCCTAACAGGCGTTGTATTCGGTCGGCGCTACACATGCCTAGCGCACTTAAGTCTATTATCTCTCATTTTATTGCTTATTGGTGCCACATTTAAATTCTCCTGAATGGATTCATTTCAAATCCTATCCCTTCTTCTCTTGCCACTCATCCATCTCAACATCCTTATCTCAGTTACACTTATTATATGTGTATATTGTTTTTTGTCCGCCCAACATTCCACCCAATAGAGCAAAGCTAGTCTCACAATGTCTTATAGAACTTGCTCTTCTGCTTGGTATGCGGCAATCACATAGAATTCCAGTTGTACATCTCCACTTCTTCTACCCAACTCTAATTATGTGTGTAACATCTTCCTCAATCTCTCCATTATCCTGGATTGCCGACCCAATATATCGAAAGTGCGGTCTTTATTATATTTTCTAGCCTTCAATCTTAATTAGTTCGTCTCTTCTACTCCGTTTATTACTACTGTATACTACACTTACATTCTATATACTCTGT